GCAGCGGTGAAGACAGAGGGGAGAACCCCACCCGCGGGGAGCCAGGGAAGGGAAGAGAGAGAGCACCTGCAAGCGGAGAGGGGGATGACCGGGCACCGGCCAGCGGGTCAGGGCGGGGAGCGGGACGGCTAGGGCAAGGAGGGGAAGAGGGGGAGGAGGAGGCGAGGGAGGAGGGAGGGAGGGGATCCATCTACGGTGAATTCTGATTGGTCATGCCCGAGCTTGAGATTTTAGCGTCGGGATTTTATAACCCGGTCCATTTAGCTTCATCTCCCACATAAAATCGTGATGAATGGTGGTGTTAGACGTAGTTCTCTTTGAGCTGACTTGCCAATTTCTCATTTTACTTCCTAGTTTTGATAACATTAGTCGACTAAGAACTAGTTAAGGTTGCATTTGCATGATGATGGATTATGATTTCTCCTAAACTATTAAATTACATGTATTATTTTTAGACACACTTGACCCCTCATGCTCCCATATCCTAGAGCAGTTTAACGTGCGTTAATGCGAAACTTACTTTTGTAAAAAAAAAATAGAAATATTGGATATGCATGTTTGTCGAAATATCGGATATGTAGGATACTGCACGAGACTTGTGTGCATAAAGTTTGGTACAATAATCTAATCATTTATGCTTCACGTTATGTAAAACAAAGTATAGCATGCTTACTTATATTTTTGCACATAATCAAGTTTTGCAAAGAAAAATTAAACATATATACTTCATCCCATACATACTTATGTACATACACACATACATATATACATGTATTCTATCTATTTTCTGAATCATTGTAGTAGGTACAATTTTTGTCCATTCAAAATCATTGAAAAGTAAAATGTTCCTAGATACGATAGCTTATGGGATTACGTGAGCTCAATATAAGTCTCGTAAAAATGTGAGCCAAGTGTATATAGGAGGAAAAGTGTATATTATCCTTGTGGAGATTTTGTTTGTCAAAACAATTGGTGTCTATTTTACCGATTGGCTGACCAACTTTTCTTCCACTCTTGTGCTCATCCTCTAGGAATTATTATTATTATTATTATTATTATTATTATTATTATTATTAAATTGATATTTTCGACAACCACAAACTGAGCTCATGCTCAATTGGATTGCATAAAATCAGGCTTCACATATAAGTTTAGAGTAAAAAAAATACATGGTCTACTTTACTTTTTTTTTAAGATCCCATGTCTACTATTACTGATGCTCCCTTAGTTGCATGTTGGTTATGAAAGATTTTCTTCCAACTAATTAAAGATTTCTTCACAAGCTCTCATTCACCTTCTTAGAAGCAAAGGACGCCGTGTTTCATGTACATCATTTTTTTTTGAACCGGTTCATGTACATCATTTAATGTTAACCGTTGAACTATCATATGGTGTCATGACACGGATGAATCCAAAATAATAATAATATAGAAACGGGACATATCCAAATTCTGATGTTATCCTTTCTTTTTGACTTGCGGTGCATGAAGGAGGGCACACGGTGGGGCTGGCTCACTGCCGCACGTTCGCCGGGCGACTGCGGCCGACAACCGACCCGACGCTGAGCCCGCGGTTCGCAGCACAGCTGCAGGCGTGGTGCCCACCCAACGTGGACCCACGGACCGCCGTGCCCATGGACACAGTGACACCGCGGGCATTTGACAACCAGTACTTCAAGAATCTTCAAGGGGGAATGGGCCTACTGAGCTCGGACCAGCTACTGTTCACCGACTCGAGGTCCAGGCCCACCGTTGACGCGTGGGCCCGGAGCGGTGCCGCGTTCGACCGGGCCTTCGTGGCGGCCATAACAAAGCTGGGCCGCGTGGGAGTCAAGACCGATGCGTCCCAGGGGAACATACGCCACGACTGTGCAGCCTTCAACTGATTTCAACTGCTAGTGCTTTGCCATTGTCCACAAAGGAATGAGAAATACCAGTATGTACTACGTATAAAAATTGTTATTCAAGGGAAATATATCCTAATTGTTTATGATGGTGCCCGTTCAGTTGGTAATCGACAGGTTGTTCTTATAATGATTCAGTTTGGGATATGAAAGTTTCAGTCAACAGAGAGGAGAAGGTTGTTTGCACAAACTTGGTGCCACGGCTTGTCGTGTGCCTCGCCAAAATAAACAAGTACTATTGTATTATCGTTATTTTCCTTATATAAGAAAACTCAACATAACGCGTTTTGGTTGCCTGCTGTCAGTCAAGCTAATAGACTATCAGGAAAAAGAATCCAGAAACAATCGTAGAATATACTGCACGCATTTGGACAACGTGCTGTTCTGCAGATACAGTGTCTCCCTGGACACAAAAGGAGCAAACCGAGAATAATCACTTGATCAGAGCATCAAACAGAACCAGATATTTCTTCTCCACGAACACGTATGGTCCAAGCTTAGCTAGAGACGCACACGCACTCTGAAATTTTCAGACAAAGACAACTAATTTTATATGAAATCCTGCGCGTTTGACATCCACTTAAAAAAGCTTTTGCTCATGATTTTGTCCTTTGCACAATCTGAAGAGGCATGTCGTTTTTGCTGCCTCCGGTGGAGATGGAGTGGATGCCCCAATAAACAGTCGCCAATTTGGTTAGGCCATCAAGGCCGCCGCCGACCGATCGACGTCAACAACACACCGGACCTGATAGGGCGGGCATGCGTTGATCCAGGTGTCCATCCATCTCTGGCCTGAATCAGTGGCTTTGGCACTACAAGCGGCTCATTTAGTGGCTAATAATTCTTGTTTCATGTTGTAAAAAGTTCAGAGTGGGGGCTGCGTGTCCACCTGTACCTTCAGGCTGAAATGGCGGCCGAGTGCGTGACCGACCAGGGGGTCCTTTCAAGCTACCTGCAACAAGCACCCGCAGACGCACGCGCGCACGAATCAGCTCGGAAATATCTATACAGAAAAGAAGAAGAGGAAAATCAGTTTTGTATGGGCTCATTTGATTTGCAGAATTCTAAAAACCTAGGAATAAAAAACACATAAATATGATAGAAATGCATGTACAAAACGGAGGGATTCTATAAACTTTCATGTTTAATTCACAGGAATAAGAAAAATACAAAAATCCTACTCCCTTCGATCCAAACTGTTAAGGATTAATTAAATCCTAATAATCAATGCTTAGGTCGGTTGTTTAGTTTAATGTAATTACTGCCTCTGTACATGGGTATAAATACCCTATTCTTCAGTCAGTGCAGTTACTGTTCAATCCATTCGTTCCTCTCTCTCTTTTTCTTCTTTACACGTTATCAGCACTTTGCCCTAACCTGGAGCGAGTGATTAGGCCACCCACATCAATCCGTCACCGGCGACGTCCTTGATGCCCGAGAGGCAGCAAGGTTTCTCCGACGCGACCGGATGCCCAGCGTTCCTTGACGCATCTCGTTGTCCCCGGCGGCAGCCCACGCCCTCCGGCGCGTGGTGCGAGCACGCCGCACCCTGCAGAGCGGCACGGCGGCGCAGGTCTCCAGACGGCGCGTGGTCGCGTGGCCTCGACCTCCCGCATCAGCCTGAGGCGTTCGTGGCACAGGCGCAGGCGCTGCGAGTCTCTCGATCAGGGAAGAAACCAGATGCAAAGAGAAAGAAAGCACAAAATTCAGAGAAAGGTCAAGAACAGCAGAACGGCAAGGGGATCAGAAGAAAACATACAAGATCCCTGTGACACATCTCGTACAAAACGACAATAATGCAAAGACCAACTCTGCATCATACATCAATCAGGTGATTCAATTCCGATTTCGTTATACTAACCTCTAGTGCATCGTTTTTAATGTCGTCCAAAGCAAACTTCGGCAGCAACCCATGGCCCGGTCGACGTTTACCTCGGCTAGGCTCCTCGCGGAGCGGCGACATCCTTCGGCCCGGCTGCTCCCAGCGCTGCACCCCGAGGCGGCCGTGGACCACGGCCCCGGCGTGGCGGAGGATGCACTCCGGGCCTGCATATTTTTCGATGAGGCGGCCAGGCGCGTAACGCACAGCGGCAGCAGTGGCCAACGTCCGGTGCCCGGCATGGCAACGTCCGGCAGCAAACACGGTGTCTCGCGGCTCTGCGGCGGCGGCCATCGGCCGGCGTGCGGCAGCGCGGTCCTCAGCCCGGGCAGAGGCAGCCCACGAGGCGCAAAACGCGGCGGCGCAACCATCGGTCTGCCCGCACTGCACAGCGGCAGCAGTTACCATGGCCACGACGCTCGCATGGGATAAGAAATTGGGGATCTTATCTTCTTTGGAATTTATTCAATTCAACCCTATACTTAGAGATAATCATATCTTGCCCCTGCAGTTTCAGATCCAGTAAGACTTAACTGGGATTTACTAAACCGCATGTTTTAGTACCCAGATTTCTGAAATTGTCATTCAGTCTCTAACACTTGCGGTTGCAGTTTTAAGTCTACAGACTTTGTTTGGTCTGCATTTTAATCTATGTACTTGCTGTAAAGCATATTAAAAAAGTTGTAATGTGTTCAATCTTCTTGCCTCATGCAATCTCTATAACACGTAACTATGTACAAGAACTCTATTTTGGCAATTGAAATATATTTTTCTTGCAAATGTTGATGTAAACTCATACTATAAAATTATAGTATGAGACTATCTTCAAATTTTATTTGTGAACCACAAGGTATTGGTGACATCTACTGCATCATTTGCAGATTATCCATCACTATTGTGAGGTCTACATCTTGTCACTTTAACAAGATGACTACCTTCAAAGTACTATTTCAAATATTAATATTAGATGTGACTACCTCAAGATATCATAAGGTAATACTGGCATCTACTGCAAATTTTGCAGACTATCCACTGTTAATGTAAGGTCTACATCGTGTCGCTTTGATAGATGATTACCTTCAAAGTGATTTCATATATTTAGCATAACATAAGGTAATAGAATTATGAACATCTACTGACAAAAGTCAGACTATGTTTTCTATTACTGCGAGATCTACACCACATCCGGTGACTATCTTCAAAGTGTTATCCTATATAAATTGAGATCTACACATATGAGTATATAGCATCAGCTATCGTAAAAATTTGCTCCCCTGAAGCAATTGTTGTTGTTCACTAAAAAGAAGATATTTACTCTCATAGTAAAAGGTATCCATGCATGAACACTACATGCTGAAATAACATATATTTTTCATGAATATTAGTTAATTAAGCCTCACTTTGCTTGAAAAAGTCATAGAATATTACGCAAGTATTGTCATATCCTGGTAATTACCTTCTATTACATAAGTAAAATACATGGCAATGGAGCGTATGCCACTATTTATAATTATGGTGTCGTCCATCCATCAAGATGGATCCCATAATTTATGGTACCGATTGAGTGTCTCAACATTTTCGCAATGTCCACATCACATTGTGGTTATACTTTCATAGTGACTAAACTAATGTTAAACATGCAACGTCTATGTTTCTGGCGGTGACTCTAAAGTTGCAACGCTCATATGCATTTTATGTGTCACCAACTTCACTTAGTTCTCAAACTAAGTACATAATGGATGAATATTTATTCATCTCGAATGTTTCACTTAAGAGAAACATGCTGCCATGAGCACATCGCGAATGATCACCCATTCGTTTTTCAAGACCTCAAGTCTATCGCAGCTCACAATTCTGTTATTTAATCAACTTCAAGTTGAGATCCCATGATCAAATATTTTCATATGTAATCCGGTTGAAAACTCCTTAATACCCTTTACATCCTCATATGATGGTATTATCATTTTTCCATGATGGAGAAACATGGAATTTCTTAAAATCATCAGATTCACCCAACAGGTTCTAACCCATTATTTGTAATTCTTGCTAGTATGAGGACTTCAAAGACAACCGAAGACGGAATTACCTCTTAATAGGGAATAAATCGTTTTCAAACGATCACAAAGACGGACTCTCAAGTTTGTCAAATGTGTGGTTATACAAACATCGCACCTATGATTACCAAACCCTCAAAGCTATGGTCAAACCACACTGCAAATTTATTGAAAAGGAAAATAAGTTCATTGGATTGTTCTCAAATCTTCATCAGAAGGAGAGAACCAAAATCTAGTGCAATAAAAGGACGGTAAATTCCTTTGCAATGATGATATGTTTGTGTAATGAAATTTTCAATAATACTGGAGACCTCATGTAATCTCTTAATTATCCCAAAATTTTATTAGCCTATACTTGTTGTACTACAAGTAGTGCGATGTTCAATATCTTATTTCTCGGACATGATATTCGATAAATTTTGAATGTATGAATCAAGTAATACTCAATATTGTTGCGTACACAATAATTTTCTAGATCTTAATATATTAAATATTTGGCTTGGTAGCCTTAACCATCCTGGTTTGGGGATGATTAGAAAATTATTGACAATTCTGTTGGTCACAACTTATCAAGTTACAAATTTTCCCAAATCATCAGATTTTATGTGCACCGCATGTGCCATAGGGGAAATAAGTTTTAAGGCACTCTCACCTTAAAATTCTAAGCAATACACTTATTCTTCCTTGAACACATTCAAAAGATATGTCTGGATTGCTTAACCATTATCTGGGGTAATTTAGATACTTCATGATACTCATATACACATTCATAAAATGTTTTTAAGTGTGTCTCTTATCACACACAAGCATGCATGATCTTACTAAATAAATTACTCAACTTATCAAAGTAGGAGCAAATTCTCCTGAAAACATGATCTATAAACCCATTCGAATGAACAGTGTTGTTGAACTAATTCAATGAGAATTTTTTTGTATTAGGTACTTTATGTGCATACCCAGAATGGTTTAGCTAAATTTCTTATCAAAGAGAGTTAAATGAATTACATGACCACTTTTAAAGAATTGTAAATTTGCCAGCCTCTTGCTGGACGCATACGGCCTTACACACCGTAAGTATGATCTAACTCATACCAACTGCATATCATACTACTTTCCCCTTGTAGTAACTATGTGGAAATCAACAAAGTATTTCCCATCTACGATAATTCGGTTACATACCAATATCACCACTCCAGCGTACATCAATGGACACTCACAGAAAATTAGGGATCTTGTGAGGAATAACAATTTATCCGTCAATCAAAATTATTCATAGCATGTATGCTGATTGCATCAGCAATAAGGATATTTTCCGGCATTAGGGGGAGATAAGTACCATAAAGAATGCCGAGAAATAAATTAGAAATGTTATTGACATTCAATCCTTATATCCACGTACTCAAAGAATCTAAACTAGAAGTTTAGAGAATCATATATTTGCAACACATTGCAAATTTGCCACATACATTTACTGATGACAAGGTGTCACTAAATTCTATATTCCTGCAGTAAAGTGTTAGAAAGAGTGGAGGTACCTGATAAACCACTCTTCTCCCAAAATGAGACCAAGAGGGGGAGAAAATCTGACAACACGAGATATAACTTCTCATATGCTTCCACGGAAACAGAGGAAATCAAAACCTTAACCAGTAAATGTAATTCAACATCAAGTTGAAAGACACCTCACTGGATGCTCATCATCCAAAGCCCGACATAAATGTGCACAAATGTTTTGGTGCCGGGACATCGAAACGCCTTGACTCCATTTGTTATAGGAAATCACAAGGAGTTAAAAAGGAATAAATATATTATCCACAAACTTCAATCATTCCATCAGAATCGTATAAACTAAAGACTACACTTGTCGACATATATTTCTTCTCAAATTGCTAAACCTTTTGGGCCCCGAACCAAAATCCATGGTAGAGTGCCTCTTGCACTCATATTGGTTCACATAAAAGGAAGTAAGTAATGAAGAATAGCACTCGCTCTACAAATGAATAGTATTTACCGCAGTAATACCTACTCCCCATAAGTATCTTCCATATGGAATACTAAAAACTTCTCATTCATAGACAAAGTCAATGAGGTGGTGAGAAAGCAAGGCTTGTAGCAAAAGGGTTCACGCAGAGACCCGACATCGATTATGATGTAACATACCCTCTTGGTATGAGTGGAATTATGTTTCGATACTAAATATCATTGGCAATAATAATAATAATAATAATATCCATGCAGTTGATGGATGAAGTGGCTACATACTCATATGAGTCACTCATTTCGGAAATCTCTATTCAAGTCCCTGAAGGGCTTATACTTCCGAATCCAAAAGCAAATCGTAACAAGTTTTGTGTAAAACTTTATAAGTCACTCTTTGACTTGAAATAGTCGGAAATCATATGGTACTACCGACTAAATGAGTTCCTTCTTCAAAAGGAGTACTCAAAGAATGATGATTGCTTATGTGTTAATAAGGGAATCCCAAATTTGATTTCCTTATATCACTTAGTGTATATCAATGACTTCATCATCAATGTCTATACAAGACCTAAACACGCAAAAAATCATCTCAAGACGAAAAATTTGGATTAAACCAAATTTAGCTTAAGTTTATAACTTGAGCATTCTCTCAAGCATACATATCAGTCTACATATATCCAAAGCATATATGAGAAGTTCAATATGGATATATCACACCAACAAAACGTATATGGTCGATATGAGGAATATTAAATTATATCTCAAGTTCAAAATAAATCTTGGACAATTCCATCAGGAAAATCAAGATTTGACCATGATATGATATATGATATTGGCTCTTTACTTGATCCCAACAAAGCCATATCAATGACTGAATTTGATGTAATAGCCTTCTTATGAAAGTCATCTAAATAGAATTTAACGGCTACTTCCACTTATCATTCTCATAATTGCTTTATATAAAGGCATTGAAAATATGCTTAGCTTAGCAGAATGATTAACCACACTCAAAACCATGTCGTTGAGATTCATCAGAATAAAGTAACTTGATTTATCAAGATGCTACCACTTGTGTTACTCAATACATACAGATTATATGAAGAGCGATATCACAAAGCATATTGCTCGAGATTACTTATCCTGATGAATTATAGAAAAGTGATGAAAAATTTGCAAGTAAAATACTGTGAAAATCCAACAGATTATTCACAATGGCATGATCATGTCAATGAAATTGGTACGAGATATCCTCGAGATTTGCAAACTTCACGGGGGAGTAATCTCCCAAACTATAACCTGTTAACAATCATCAAATTACATATATTGTACTCTTTTTCCCTTCATGAGTTTTCCCTCATGGTTTCTCATAAAAGGTTTTTAATGAGACAATATTGATAC